AGCAAAGTTCAGCCTCCCACTGGTGTTTCTGGAAATTGAAATTACTGAACTAACTTTTCCATGTCACTCCCTTCCCTTTTTTTTAGGACAAAATTGCCTTGGGCATGGGACACAATGTTCTTTGTAAATTAGAGAGCTGCTTTAAATGTAGGATGGAAACTGCTACACAAAATGCAGGAAAACATAATGCTGTCAGGCTGTCTCACAGGGGCAGAACCTGATAAGACTTGGGCTTGTGGGTGAGCACAAGGCCAGGGCCACCTTTCTAACCCTCCGTCTTGCCACGGGGTTATGTCATCTAACCTAGTTATTTCCTTCATCAGTTACTCTGCTGCAAAAGTTACACATTGCTTTGATCTGAGCTACATACAAGTTTTCTAATGTACATCAACCCTATTGATAACTTATTTGTTGCTGATTTTGCTTTTCTTTTTTTAAAATTGAAATGTTATTATACAGACTGTAACGTGGATGCAGTAGCTATGTCTAGCCTGAATATGCTGTGATGTGATCCTGGTTCCCATCCACAGGGTACCCAGGTTGGGGTCACACCCCTGGGGCAGGATTAGAGGGTGCCAACCCCCCCACCTCTATGCCCTGGTCACCCAGACAGGGAAAGCAGGAGCCAGGAGAGGGGACTGACACTTTCTGCTCGCACTACCATGGAACTGGGTTGTTGCTAGGCTCATACCTGATTCCAGGGCAGGGAAGTACTCCCAAATCCGGCAGTTGAGATACAGCCAAATATCCCTAAATAAATACATTTATTTCCTTTGGGACTTAACAATTACCTATATGTACATAGGCATTTTTATACAACTGTAAATTTGGGGCGCAGGGAGTGAGAGAGATGCTCACTGCAATGCTTCAATATAGTTGAAGTCCTACAACTTTAGTATCACAGATCTTACTGACCTAGCTCAACAAAGGTATGAGAATATTACACTGATAATGTGTATAAAGGGCTGACCACTTGTTATAGTTACTAGCATTAATTTTTAGTCTAATCTGAAACAGAGAAGCTATATTACATTTCAGTCATCCATCTAATTATTAGTGAAGAAACTTTTGGTTCACCAGTGTGTTTTTTTATAACAGACTGGTTAAAAATAAGTTACTATAAATAATTTGGAGAAATATATTTGCAGAGCTTGCAAACTGCTTGTGATCTGTTGGCTTTGACTTTATGAAAGTGTCCTCAAAAGTGTAGTGTTGCAGCTCGCAAACTCTTCATTAAGTATTTTGAAAAAAATATTGAATAGTTACTAATGTGTTGCTTGTAGAAAACAACTTGTTCTAATAGATAATACAAAGTTCAGGATAATAAACAGTTTGTCCCAAATAGCTGGCAAATTCTTCCAGTGTTCAAGAAATGAAGATCAGAAACCTGCAAATCAAAGTGAGATTAAAAAGTGCTCTTACTAGTGAAAAAAATTTGAATCTGTTTATTTTGTTGTCATTAATAAGTAAACCCCATCAAATATTGAGAATGAATACATCCTACTGGATCACCTTTGTAATTTTTTTAAGGATTTTAAAGTTAGTGCACAGAAAAAGCATGGTGTAAATCATCACAGTTCCTTTGACTTCAATGGAGAAGCACATTTGTGTTATCTGAAGATATCTCATGCTGCACATTCGAATAAACGTATATGACTACAGCCAATGACAATACCTGAACTGAAGCATTTATTCAGACAGGCTCGAAAAGGAGCACAGCTAATAGAACCTGAAAACTGAAAATTACAATCTGTTGAGCAAAGGGACCTGGAAAGCTTAGGAACATGGGAAGAAAATGATAGAATGAAATTAATTTAGGAAAAGTGTAGGTGGGTGCAACTAAGACAAAATAGTGTGTAGGGCTGGAAAGCTGTGAAGATCAACAACTTTTGAAAAACATTGCATCAAAAGAAATAGCATCGAAACAGATCTTGAGCTGCTGTTGAATAAGAAACACTAATCAATGACTTTTGAATATAATAAAGCCACAAAAATAGCCCATGAATTCTGTTTCCCACTCAAAAGCACCACACCATGGTACAAAGATCAGAAGGTTTTTCCTATGAATGGAATTTAATAGTAATTCAGACAGTTGGAGGTTTGTCCTTGTTTTCTCCAATACTCTGTGGAGTATTTCTGATGGAAAATGATTTGGGGCACCACATTTTTTATCAGAAAGATATTGACAAACTGGAAGCTGTATACAGAACAGCAACAAAAAAACCCCAAAACCCCAGCACGGACAGAGAAGAGAGTGTGTGAGAGAAAGCTAAAATAGCTGAATATATTCAGTTTGATTTCAAACATTTGAAAGGCACTAGTACCGAAGCTGGAAGGTATTTCACATAGTATATAGGTGCACAGCTGAGACCCCTGGATGAAATTACAAAAGGGAACAATTATACTGAAAATCCAGGATATTTCCTAGTCAATAGCTGTATCAGAGCAGGAATAAATTCCTTATGAACTGGTAAAACCCTGCTGCTCTGGATACTTGCTGCCAAAAAGTGTGCAGCCCTTGCAGGAGTAGCAGTCAATGAGGTTTTTCTCCTACTATAACTTGTCGGATTCTGTGGTATACTTGAACATTAAGTAGACTCCCAACAGTTTAAACAGTGCTCGAAAAGCCATCGACTTCCCTTAACATGTCAGCATTCTGAGTGCAAACTTAACCCAGTTGCCACAGGAAGCTTAGTCATGAGGCCCCTGGTTTGTAATATACAGCTCTCCCTAATATGCTGTAGCAGATAAAGCAGCTGGTAAAGCCTGTGGGTTTTCTGGGTGTATCTGAAAGTTTCCATGGCAACAAATGTGCAGCTTCAGAAGAAAAGAGCCCTGAAACTCAAAGCTGATGTTTCTGAGTGTTTTAAGATGATAATAAATTTTTATTATTCTATAGTTTCATGATTCTGCATTTCTGGCCATCTCCAGGATCACACAGAGACCGGAGATCAACATTAGCACAATAACTGGTGCTAAATATTGTGTATATCAAAACACAAGAGAGTTTCTAGTCCCTACATCTATTTGCTTGTAACTGGAAGGTGAGGGAAACCATAGCACCCGTGGTGATTTCTAGCATCTTGGGGTAGCAAAACAGGTCTTCCTCAGGAAAATCCAGACTCGCAAACTGCTGCAGTTCTGGTGACTGAGACGCAGGCATGAGGCTGGGAGGTGGTGATGGGCATCTGGTGATATGACTGATGGGTGTGTGCCTACTGCTCAGCCTGGGCTGGGTGGCCACAGGGAGCCCAGGCAGCCGGTGGCTGATGGAGGACGAGCCCTTCCCCTGGCCGCAGTGCAGCACTGCCAGGCCTCTGAAAGCATCAGCCCTGGCTGGAGGGAGAGGGAAGCCTGAGGGGCAGGGGCGGGGGGGAGAAGCCAAAATAGCAAGCTTCATGCTCAGCAGGTCTGAAAAGCTCTGCTGCTTTTTAGATCCTTTCTTATCTGTGCAGCTGCCGCAAGCGTTTGAAGTCCCATTGACTGGTTGGAGTCCCACCAGAGGTGTTTTTCAAGAGCTCATGTGGATGAGGATTTTTTTTTCCAAACTGAAAAAAAAATCCCAAGCATTGTCATGCAAAAAGCAGGGGGGTCAGCCTTCCCTGTGCTCAGGAGTTTTACAGCTTGTGCCCGTGCTTCTTGAGTATAATCTGTTGTCGCATTTGCCTTTCTTTGCCTCCTACTGGTACGCCTGTGTTGGACTCCCATTTCATCATCAGTCTTTCCAGAGAGACAATTGGTGATCTGTGCCCTGTGAATCTGCAACACTTGCTCCAGATCAGAAAAGAAGGGCATATTGTCATCGGACTGGAAGCTAATAACAAAATGTTTGTACGGCTCCTTGCACCGGCTTTGTAAAGTTTGCCTTTAAGGGTGGCAAATCTGGTCACTGCCCAGGCCCTGTAAAACCATCACTACTGCTCCGAACATATGATGCATCGTATGTACGTATTCTGATCTGCAAATCAGAGGGGCAGATTTGATTGAATTAACATCATTCCCATCTGTCCACAAACGGCACAGACTGTCAGAGGCATATACAGAGCTAGAATGGTGTCGCTGATCAGAGGAGCTGAACAGCATCTCTGGCCGTACCGGGGCAGCGCTGCTCAAAATGCTGTGTCAGTGGATCACAGGCAGCTTCCTGCACAACCTTCCCTGGGGCAGGGAGCAGGACTGTTTCACATCTGCAGTTTATCAGATGGAAACGAGCATAAATCTGTCCTGGAAGAAATGAGGCGAGGCCTTTCTGTTTCTGCAACAGCTGACATGTTTTCTCCACCGGGTTTGTGTTTGCTCAGGGAGGGCAGTATTTGCACTTTCTGAAGAGCTGAACTGCGCTGCTGTTCACTGGAGGGAGAATATGCAGAATCTGATTATCTTTCAGAAGCTAAAGCAGGAAAAATTTCTCTGCTATTGTTTAAAGATACTTTAGGGTCACTGCTTGTTCCTAGGCCAGATTCTGCTGGTTTTATTTACATGTGCCTGCTCATGACTTCCCTGTTCTGTGAATCCCACCAAACCAGTGTTTTCTGTGTTCCCTCTGCTGGCTCTGCGGCAGCAGTTCACTAACAAGCACAGTTAGCAGGAGCTGTGCACAGCAAAGGTGTCTTGCCATGAGACAGCCACTAGATTGTTGTTTAAAGCACGCAGGATAATGTCATCTCCATGCAAAACTGTAAAAAAGAAAAAAAGTGTTGGCTAAATGGAAAAAGAAGATAAAATTAGTACCAAAAAAAGGATGTATTTGCAAGGTTGTAGGCATTTACAAATAAAATTGAAGGCTTTAAAAAAAAAGTAAAAGCTGCAAAAAAATTATTCAGTGTCCTCTTCATCACATCTGGACAATCAGATTAAGGCATTGTGCGAAACAGGGGACGTAAGCAAATTTCCCATCTTTAATGGCATGCACCACATTTGTCCCATCATTAGACATGATAAACCAATGAGAAAGAGAAAGCAAGGGGTAGAACCACTCTTTGTCATGCAGCTTCTCTTACACATTCACTGCAGTGTGGGATTTTTCAAAGCTGCACATGTGCCGACGGACACTGGCTGGTGGGCGAGAACTCTGGCTGCCTCTTCCTGAAGATTGAAAAGAAAAAGACACCCAGTGAGTGGTTATACACATGTGCACACATGGTGGCTATACCACTCAATAGGGTGCCTGTCCCTGACCTACGCCTAAGGGTCACTGTGGGCTTTTCCATTTTTTCTCCTCTTGCTCATTGGGCCAGTCACCTTGACTTGCACACCGGTTTCTCCTTGGCTCTAGCACAGTATTGTTTAAAATAGGTTCTCCTGGTGTTTGTCCCTGCTTCCTCTGCTGAGCCCTGATGCACTTTACATACCAGATGGCAAGGGCTGCTGTGCATTTAGCTGTCAGTGGGACTTCTCCCTTGGTATTCTCCACGCAGGATGAAATGATAAAAAAGGAGCATCTGCCTTTTGCATCTTATTTACAAAAGCATCACCAAAAGTTTTTGTTGGTGAAGCTTTTAATATATACTCAGCTCCTGCTTTTTCTCTGTGTCTTTTATTCCCATAATCTGCTTTTCTACATGTTTCCTTTCTTTTACTTTCCGGCTCTAGCTGAATAATCACTAGTTTTCATTATATGTGATTTCACTGTATGTGCTTCTTTTTTCTCATGGAAATGTTGGCCTTATTGAGGTAGACACAAAATGAAGAGTCTCCTAGATGCTCTATCTGCAATGGTAATTCCAAAAGGGATTGCAGATGGCAGTTTTGGCCATTAATATAAGACAATTTCCAGTTTATTTTTCTCCTCTCCCTTACCCTATCAAGCAGATGCAAACTCTCGTTTGTCTTCCCCAGTATCAATAAAAATATATACACACACGCACGTGCTTTGACAAAAATCTCAGGTATTTTTGCACATGGAATGTATCAATGAATTTCTGCAAAAAATGTTGTCATTGTATTGCAAATAAAACACAAATAAAAATTCAGCATTTCTCCCCATCAAACAAACAATCATGGTGCATGCTTGCCAGACTTCTGTTTACCTCAAAACAACAGATTCATGGATGGTATGTGCACGTACTACATACTCAGTACAGCTGCTCGTGAGCCAAACAAGCCATTCTTCTCACCACATACTAAAGCACGGGAGCACAGCGTGATGTACACAGAATACATGCATACCCATTTTGGAGAGGTAGATGCCTTGAGATGACTTCTGAACTATTATGAATAAAACACAAATAAGACATACTGCTGAGCAATTTTGTAAACCTACTGCCTTTGAAGTCTGTAGAATAATTAAACTCCTTACCAGATGTAAAGAGATCTCTGAGATTTCACAATTTAAAGGTAATAATAATTAGGAACTTAGCTACCATGCTCTCTCCTACACCCTATTAAAGTTACAGAGATTATTAAGCTCCTGATTAAACAGAATATCCAATGTTTCTACAGACCTCCAGTTTTCTTCATCTATTGACAGAAGAGCTTTTTACCTTCTGTGCTTGCTTTGTTAAAAATCAGAAATTAGTAGTTTATTCAGTCACAGGAGCTAATTTTACAAAACAAGTAGCAACATGCACTCGATTATCGGAGAGAAAGATCCAGATCTAAATGTATTTCACACATGCACAGTGCTGTGTGCACTATAGAGGGCACACAGCCGTGGAAAGCCTTGCTCAGGGACCCTGGGAAAGGTGGAAGACTTGTGTTTCAGAGCACTGCTTGGGACCGGGTCTTTCTGAGTCAATGGACTTTACCAGCTATCACCCCTCAGCTACTGCAGTTTGCAGTCACTTCTGGCTTACTTAGTGGCATCCCTCACCGCCCCCCCCCCCCCCACCCCCCCCCCT